GGTGTACTTTCTATAGTCCAGGTGTACTTTCTATAGTCCAGGTGTACAGTAGGAAGATGAAAAACTCATGTCACCCCCAGTGTTCTGCTGCTCACGGTTCAAGACGATTTGACTTTTTTAAATTGATTTAGCACGTTACCTTTCAGGTGACGGCTCTGACTGTGTTCTCTCTGCAGCCATGGTTACAACGTCTGGAGAGACCCATTGAAACCCACGCACATCTTGGCTAAGCTGTGTAAAGATGGTAAACTAGACGGACCACACTACGGCCCAGGAGGAAGAGTGAAGGTGGAGAACCGGGTCTTCATGGCACCAACTGAAATAGAGGATGAAAACGGTGATTGCTTTTTACTTCCCTTTGTTCTAGTCCAAAAACCTGAGAGCTGTTGTGTTCAAGAGCAGCCATGCCCACATGCTGATAGTTTATTAATTTTGGTTATTAAAAGTTTCCTGAAAGAGAAATTGGACAGCTTTGACCCGTTTTCTCCAGGTCTGAAGAAGCAGACTGACGAGCACCTCGCTCTGAGCGTGCTGAGGCACTGGGAGGAAATCCCAAGAGCCGGCTGCAAACTGGTCCCCGAGCACGTGGAGACCAGACCGCTGCTGCACCCTGACAAACCAGGAATCGAACAGGTAACTAATGTCATTCCGTCATGTTTCTCTTACTGTGTATCAACACGTTGAGCTACACCAGGTGATAAGATTTGTTGTGGTTTCTGTGACTTTTATACTTTTAAAAATGTAAAACTTTAAAATAAAAACCTCTGAGAAATATTCTACAATGAGATATTTGCAGTTTCCAAAACACTCCTTAAAGTTAGTGTACTCCTCATAGCTTTTAGCTACATTTTTGCTAAATTTAGCTTTTAAATAGTTTTGCTACTTTTTGCTCTTTTTTTTTTTGTAGTTCATTTTTGTTTCGCTGAGTTCAGCTTTTTTAAATCGTTTTGTTAATTTTTACTTTTAGCTACTGTAGTAATTTTAGTTCATAAAGGGGAGTGGTGGCACAGACGTTAGAGGAGGTGGGTCTGGGATCGGAAGGTCGCTGGTTCAACTCCCTGTATCGACAACATCAAAATGTGGAAAGGTGAAGCGCCCACACCTGCCTCCACCTTCATTTGCCACACTTTGGACCCTTGAGCAAGGCACTTAACCCCCCCACCATCTGCTCCCCCGGGCGCCCTGGATAGCAGCTCTCTGCTCCACACAGAGGCTGTGGTAGCTCGGTGTCTGTGGTTGCGTCAGGAAGAACATCCGGTGTAAAAACAATCACCAAGTCTTCGTGTGAGTTAGTTCATTGTGGCGACATGAAGAAGGAGCAGCTGAAAGAAGAAGAATTTTTTTTTAGTTCTTATCTACATTTTAGCTCAATTTATCTTTTAGCTACGCCTTTGCTAATTTTAGTTTAAATTTTGCTTATTTATTGTCATTATTTTTCTTGTTTTAACTTTTAGCTAGTATATTGCTAGTTTATCTGCTTGTTTCCATTCTGTCTGTTTTAACTTTCACGATCAGTTGTTTTTAACAAGCGTCGTTCAGCTCTCGGTGTTCTCATTAAAAAAACAGGTCAGGCTTCTGTTTGCATCCTGAACGTAAAGTTTGCATTTTTTCCTCCGTGTTCAGGGAAGAATCGAGATGTGGGTGGACATTTTCCCCAAAGACATGATTGCTCCTGGTCCTGCACTCGACATCTCACCAAGAAAACCAAAGAAGTATGGATCCACGGTTACTGAGGCAGAATCTTCAAATAGAATGAGATGCCCGTCGCGTCAGGTAAAACCACAGGTGAATTGTTTCATGTCTGGTGCGTGTGTGCAGGTTCGAGCTGAGGGTCATCATTTGGAACACAGACGAGGTGGTTTTAGAGGACGATGATATCTTCACCGGCGAGAAGTCCAGTGACATATTTGTGCGAGGGTGAGCGTGCACTTTTGATGTTTGAGTGTTCCTCATTTTACCAAAATAAAGTTACAACAAAAAGACATGTAAAAAGCTTTAATTTGTAGTTTATCTCAAAGATGAAAAACAACTAATTTATTTTCTAGGTTTCAGATTTTAATTTAAAATTCAATTCAGTTTATTTCTGTAGCTCCACGTCCCAACAGAAGTCGTCTCAGGACACTGAACAGAAACTTTCAGACATTAGAAAAGACGATCAGTAAAGTTCTCTATAGGAAGCAGCAGATTGTGTTGAATCTTCACTTCATCACAGTCTTCCATCCTGAGCGAGCACAAAGGAGACAGTGGGAAGAAAAAACTCCTTTTAACAGGAAGAAACCTCCAGAAGAACCAGGATCAGGACGAGCGTCCATCTGCTTCATCTGGCTGGTTTGAGAGGACAGGAAGTAGAAACAGACACAACAGGTCCAGATGTACTTTCTATAGTCCAGGTGTACTTTCTATAGTCCAGGTGTACTGTCTATAGTCCAGGTGTACTTTCTATAGTCCAGGTGTACTTTCTATAGTCCAGATGTACTTTCTATAGTCCGGGTGTACTTTCTATAGTCCAGGTGTACTTTCTATAGTCCAGGTGTAC